AGAAACACAAGTCATTCCAGCTATTCTTGGATCTTGGAATGACCTGTCTAATTGCCTATTGTCTTTGACTTCAACATCCTTTTTTTAAATTAGTGTTTACACAATAGCAAATGTGATATTGCCAAATGGCCAAAACCATCCTCTTTATTTGTAGTTTGTAAAAAGTGGAATTTTTGTGTTTTTAGAGGAAGATGTCAAGACCAAAAAACCAAGAACTACAATCAMCAACAGAGAGAGGGATTATGCTAAAGGTATCTTTCACTATTCTACATGTTTTCTTTTACATAAATAAATAACTTATCTGGTATATAGTGTATGGATGTACTCATCTGGTATATAGTGTATAGATGTATGGATGTACTCATCTGGTATATAGTGTATAGATGTATGGATGTACTCATCTGGTATATAGTGTATGGATGTATGGATGTACTCATCTGGTATATAGTGTATAGACGTATGGATGTACTCATCTGGTATATAGCGTATAGATGTATAGATGTACTCATCTGGTATATATTGTATGGATGTACTTATCTGGTATATAGTGTATAGATGTATAGATGTACTCATCTGGTATATAGTGTATGGATGTACTCATCTGGTATATAATGTATAGATATATGGATGTACTCATCTGGTATATAGATGTATGGATGTACTCATCTGGTATATAGTGTATGGATGTATAGATACCATGGAGAATATTTGAAAAAAGGTCCCCGCCCCTTTGGAATTTCCACTAAAGTTTCTTCTATACAAACCTTGTAATGTTGTTTTCCCCTGACCACCTACCCCTTGGGAATTTCCACGATTTCCTTCATGGTAGGGTATGGATTTTTCTGGCACCACACATTCAAAGAAAAAGTATATTACACTTACATCCCTTACCATATGAATTGGATTTCTTGAGGATCGGCAGCAGCAGTGTTTAAATATTCATTTTTTTTCTAGATTCTGAAATGCTTAAAAAGGCAATAAAAGCCAACACAGAGTACCAAACCAAGTATGGTCACGACGCTTTCAGCAGACCACAAGAACAAACAAAAAAGGTGGTACGCGAACACTTAGAAAAAAATGAGAACCTAATAAGTTTTTGTCATATTCCGCTATTGTCTTTCTTGCTGTGCTGGTGTTTAGAATGGCGAATTAGTCATTTTGGAATCTCAGAAAATCTACCCGCTAAAATAACTGATCTTTATGATGAGGTTGCTAAAGTCTTGGTACAAAAAGTCCATGCAACTCTCAAATATTCAGAAATGTCAGAATATGCAAAGAAAATAGCTGAAGAAACGCTAGGTAAACTAGCTAAATTAGCAGCTACTTTACTGAAGAAAAGTACTTTTGACGAAGAAGACATGAAAAAACTAGGCCTTACCGAGGACGAAATTGAAAACTTGAAAGTAAGCGGCATTCTTCATTGTGTTCCTGGAATTAGAATTTCTGTTTTTCAAACAAAAGAAGAGTTTAGTTTCACTCATTTGACTCTGCAGGAATATCTCTCTGCTTCTTTTTTTGTGAAAAATAAGGAAATTCCAGAGAAAGAGAAAGTGAGTGGGCAGACGTTTGTGTTTATGTGTGGACTTTTGTCGAAGGAAAAAGATCATGGAGAACAACTAATGAATAAACTAATCCAACAGATATCACCTAAGGATAATAGATTTAAGCTAAATAAACTGCGAATGTTACAGTGTCTGTATGAGTATGGAGAGGAAGAACTAACTGCAATAACCATGAATAATCTGTACGATAAATACTGTAATATGTATGGGTACATTAGTTTTAAAGTAACTGATGCTGATGTGAAATACGTATCCTATTTGTTGGATATCATTCGTTCACTAAAAGAACAACATCCACAGTCATCTAGTGATTATACTTTGTACATTCGTGGTTTAACCTCGTTTGGTGTTGGTGTTGTTTGTCGTTCGCTTGTTCGTAATTCGTTCATAACTAAACTGGACCTGTCAGAGTGTAGTTTAGATTATAAATGTGTAGAAAAAATAACTGACTCGTTATTAAACACAGGAATAACTTACCTAGACCTAACAAAGAATAATATTACAGATGAAGGAGTGAAGAGTATTTGTAGTGTACTACCACAAACTAAAATAACCGAGCTAGACCTAGGGTATAATAATATTACAGATGAAGGAGTGAAGAGTATTTGTTGTGTTCTACCACAAACTAAAATAACCGAGCTAGATCTAGGGTATAATAATATTACAGATGAAGGAGTAAAGAGTATTTGTAGTGTCATCATGCAAGATGATTGTCAAGTAAAAGCCTTACACTTAATTGGCAATTTCATAATAACTACAGAATGTAAGGAACGTGTAAAACAACTTGTAAAAAAAAACGAACCTGGTGTTGAATTGCTTATTTAGATGAATGAAAAAGAGAATTAAACTGGAATATATCTGTAATTATTTGTACAATATTGTATTGCATAATAAAGTAAATATTGGAGTTTAATCTTGTTTGGACTGAATAATTTCTGTTTTTGTCAACACAAATCCCTTGAAAATCCAAGATATTTATTGATAAATGTCAAGTGGTTTGATATCAATACAACTACAAATTGGTTTGGATCAATATTTCTATTGAACAAAGTTAAACGAAATTTTTCCCAGCAAATAAATCATTTTTTCAGATTCTTATTTTGAACAAAGTGAATTTGACTCAGAACAGCAAAAAAAAATAAAAAATTATTTTCTTCTTCAAAATCTACGGAAACCCTGGAGGTACATTTCAGACTTCAGAATTAGGATATTTCAGACTTCGGACTTCAACCAGCGCTGCCCAGCCTTATGTTCATATTTTGCAAAACTCAAGCTTATTTTCTTTTTTTCGAGTTTCAAATTCTGGTCGAATATGAATCATCCGGCTTTATAGTTACATCCAGGTTCCAGTGACTTCACTGTCATTCACTGATTAATAATTTCAGACTTCAGAGTTGAATTCTAATTGTCAGACGCAACACTGTTTATTTGCGTTCCACGGCTTGATTGATGATCAAACTCGGTCAAACCAGAAGCTAAACTCGGAGCTTTGACGTCCAGAATATTATATAAGTAAAGGAATTTGTAGWAAAGCTCGTCTTATTTCGGCAAGTATAAATAAAAATTTTCCGAGTCGGAAATACACTCCCAAAGTGCTGAGTCAATTTTGTATATTGTTTCGATTTGATCCCATTGTCAGATTTTAAAAATTTTTCCTCTAATATAAAGTTAGGTATTACGAAGTATTTTCAAAAAATGAAATAAAAAGGGGGGGGGGGGGTGGCCGACTTCGTTTATACATGCACGGAGATTACAGACGTTAATTTTTATGAGATTTTGCTCATAGAGCGTCTTGTTTGTTTTTTTTTTTTTTTCCTCCGCGACAAAATGGCAAAGTTGCGCAATAGTCACCCAGGGGTTTTCAGGAACTTACCCAAGAGACCTTTGCGGGCATCTGCTATGGGGTTCCCGTCTATAGTCCAATCAATTATCATGTACCAGATGGCAATCAATGTCACTATGTTGTCAAGTGATTATGAGAGGGCGGAGCTAGCAGATCACGTGGCACAGGTTTTTGTCTACGCATGCTCTATTTCGTTGACCGCCGTAATAAGATCCTTTGCTCCTCTTAACGTCCTCTGATTACCACTCTCTTTTCCCCTCCTTTTTCTACGTACCATAGTACTGATAGTACTACGTGATGCTGGTGAGTTTCTTCGTGCCCAATTATTTCGAGCGAGAACTTCTTGTACATTCTCTACAATCAGAAGGATATTCCTTTCAGGATAAATAGTTAAAAACATAGAGTGCAAGTAATATACCCGTGAAATAGATAGCTAGCTAACTATAAATTACTAACTTTGTGCTAGAGTGCAAATAATATACCCGTGAAATAGATAGCTAGCTAACTATAAATTACTAACTTTGTGCTATTGGTTGCCTAAGTCTAATTAGTCAAAGAAATAGGCGAGCCGTGACGGATGAACTAGTGCACGTGTGCTACTCAAGGGCGCGCATTTTATTGTACATGCTTTTCCTTCGTATAATTTGACATGTTTGCATTTTCGAATTCGTATCTGTTAAACAACAAGTGGAGCTTGATTCATGTTTTATGACTTGATATTCAGCTGACGACTGTATAATCTTCAAATTGTCTAGTGTTTAAGTCATTGCTTTTTCGTTCTTAAAGCTAAATTACAAACGGCGATAGTTTTTCTTCATTAATTGTCCACACTGCGGGCAGAAGCAAAAGTGGCGTTCTACGAAGCTCAAACAAGTAGGTCTAATACGGTTCAAGCGAAATGGTTTTTGGACTGGCCAAAGCCAATACGCAGAAAACACTGGAGTACTGGAACACAACATGCACATTGGAGTAATTTATGCCTTTCTCGCCATTTCCAAGGAGCAAGTAAGAAGATTTTATGGTTTTTTAGCTATAGTTGTTTGAGTCTTGATTTGTTTTAGTTTATAAATGCGTATTGTCTTGATCTTTAGCGTGATAAAACAAATAAAAATGGTAGATAACACGTTCATTTGCGTACTGGTTTTTTTGTGTCATGATTTACTGCAGAATTAAATGTGCTTCTTGTGTCTTGATTCTCAGCTCAATTCAATAAACTTGTTAGAAAAAACGTTCATTTGTGTAATGAGTTGTTACTCTAGTAAACGCCCGTGCCCTTGTCATGCCTCACTGAATTCCTATGTGTTGTCTAATTAAGCGCTAACTATCTCCTATTTAATCCTAACTATTTCACGGGTATATTATTTGCACTCTAGAAAACAATGGAATTTGCATGAAATTGTGCTATTTAGTATTACCAAAGTTTCACGGATTTACTGTGGTCACTCTAGTATTCCATGCACAATACCAAGGAGGGTGAAAACCTTATACACTGTATCAAAAATATTCAGGTTCATTGGACTGGAGTATAAATTAACTATCTATTATAAAGATAAATAGTAAATAAATAAATTAATTAATAAAAAAATAAATTCCAAGAGGCCACAATCCTTTTTAATCCAACTTCAACCACATTCATTGTAAACTGTTTTCCATTCTTACTAACACTTCTTTAATCGGATAGATAACTCGCTGGTTTACCTCGGGCCACTTTCGTTCTGTAGGGAAGATTCTGAAAAGAAAAATGGGAAATGTATCTAATCACTCTGAACATTTGCATTTAGGTTACAGTGTAAATAAATGTTCGTGGGTTGTGTTTACACGCGCCCTCTAGCGATTATTTCTGTCGCGACGAAGAAGGTTTTGGTGGTCGGAAAACACAAAGCTATAAGGGCACGTGCCTATAGAATGTCATGAAAACGCCTTGATTGACGTCCACCAAAAGCTCCTTCGCAGCGACAGAAACAATCCTTTTAAAAAGCGTCGCGTGTGATTGAGAATGGCTGTAAATTCATTCCTAATATAATTCCATACGTTACTTCATACGTTATTTGCATTTACAATTAATTTCACTGTACGTTGTCTTGCTCGATGCGCTAATCGAGACTAACGTGACTAACCTTACATTAAATACTTAGGAGTTTATATTGACCAGCATCTTAATTGGGAATATCAAATCAAACTTGTACACAGTAAAATATCTAAGAATATCGGAGTGATTAATAAGCCAAGGTACTATGTTAATTTGAAAACATTACGAGATGTATATTTTTCAATAATTTATCCATACTTAGCATATGGGATGTTATCTTGGGGAAATACGTACAAAACAAATTTAACTAAAATATTCACAGCTCAAAATAAATGTAAGAATTTTCTTCTGTAATAACTATGAACATGCAGCCCCCCTCTATAAATTATTAAGTATATTAACATTTCAAAATATCCTATATTACAAGGCAGGTGAACTTGCATTTAAAATCCTTAATG